AGAAAGAAAGAAAGAAAGAAAGAAAGAAAGAAAGAAAGAAAGAAAGAAAGAGAGAAAAGAAAAGAAAGAAAAAAAGAGGAAGAAAGAAATGCTAAGGAATCTAATGTCCATTACAGGCAACATACCACAACACACAAAACGTATGTCATTTTTGTCTTTCTCTCTCACTTTTGGTGCATATCTAGGAGTGCCTTCCATGTGTGAGGCATGCATTTATGCAGCTGAAGGCAGCAAGATGGGATATACCTCCTCCCTACCCACCTGGGCTTATCACCAGGGGAAAGGAAGCGGGTGCATACATGAATCTCTCTAGTGTTAGGAACTAACTTGGGTAAATGTGACCCGAGTTATAACAAAGTCTGTGAAAAGAGAGGGGAGAAGTAATCAATTCTGCCTGTGGATCTTTATATAGACTTTGATACAGATGTATGATTGAGTTAGAACTCAAAGGATGGATACATTTTATTTGGATTCAGCCAGATTTATTGAACATTTCTTAGGTACTATCCATCATCATAAGCCATTTTACAATTAATTCTTTCTATAATCTGCACCCATACTATCATCGTAATTGGACAGATAGTGTCATTCATGAAAAGAGATAGTCTTCTAAGAGTAATAACTGCCAAATGGCGGGTAGAGAAGCTAGCCCTGTCTAGTGCTCTCTAAACAAGATATTGTAACTAATTTATTCAGTCGGTGTGTTCCTAATAAGCAGAGAGGGATTGAGAAATTTGAATGTGACCCCTTTCCTAAGAGTCTATTCCAGGAAATAGACAAGGAAGTGGATAATTGTTATATAGCATGATGATTTTTATGGAACATGTGGTCATTAGATATCTTGGAAATACATTAGAAGGTTGCCTAACCCATCTGAGTTCAATTTGGAAGAAGGCCTAGGAGTTAGCCATAAGGAGGAGATAGGCATTGCAGAGGTGCCCAGCTATCTTGTGCAATGGCCCAGACGCAACATATGAAATGTAGGGTTAGAAGTGATACGATAGACAATATAAGAACAGAAGGGTGACAGAGTGTAGAGAAGATGGTAACAACTAGATTATAGAAGAA